GATTTCTTTAAGTGTTTAGAATTTTTATCATAAAAGAGTGTATTCTTATGTTTCCGGAGTCATAGATTGTGAAAATGACCTCCATTTTAAGATTACGCCACTGCGTTTCGGCTTATTCAAGTTTTTCGAATTTATCCAATTTAAAGGTCTACTTTGATGATGCCGGAGCCTTAGTTTTTAAAACGATTTACATTTTAAGATTAGGCCACTGTGTTTCGGTGTTTTTTAGTGTTTTTGATTTTTCTTTCGAATAAAAAACAAAATATGAAGGATTAATTTATTTTTCAATAAATAAATAAAAATATCTAATCAAAATAAATAAAATATGCAATGTCTCATTTTTAATTTAATTTTAGTTATCTTTTTTAATGTTGTGGTCTCCTGTCACAAAATTATAAGATTTCGAACAATTAGCTGAAAAATCTGAATACGGAAGGTTAAATTTATTACCAGCTGCTTTTCGGCTATTTAGTTTGTATTCTGTGGTCAATTTAACTTTAGCTTCATAATATTTATTTATTTATTCATACTCGAAAACATATTGATGAAACTTTGTATTGTAAAAATCCAAAATGAAGCCTAATTATTCGAAATGCAGCGGCTTAATCATAAAATGGAGCTTAAATATTAGATAAATTTAAATATTAAAGATTAGAAAAATTTCAATGCGTCTCGGATAACATAAGTAGATTCTTATACCGAAAAATTAAAAAAAAAAAAACTTTTATAATCCAAAACACAGTGGCATAAACTTGAAATTGGGTCATTTACAAAATGGGGGAAATCTGCTGCTCCAGAAACATAAAATTAGACCTTTATACTTGTTAAATTCTAAAAACTTAAATAAGTTGAAACGCAGTGGCGTAATCATAAAACAGACATCATTTTCAGAATCTACGGTTGCGAAAACATAAAAGTAGACCTTTAAATTGGCTAAATTCGAAAAACTTAAATAAGTCAAAATCCAATGGCGTAATCATGAAATGGAGGTCATTTTCAAAATCTACATCTCCGGAAACATAAAAATAGACCCTCATATGAAAAATATCCGAAAAGCTCAAATAAGTCGAAACGTGGTGGCCTAATCTTAAAATGGAGGTCATTTTCAAAATCTACAGCTCCGGAAACATAAAAATACACCCTCATATGAAAAATATCCGAAAAACTTAAATAAGTCGAAACGCGGTGGCCTAATCTTAAAATGGAGGTCATTTTCAAAATCTACAGCTCCGGATACATAAAAATACACCCTCATATGAAAAATATCCGAAAAGCTCAAATAAGTCGAAACGCGGTGGCCTAATCTTAAAATGGAGGTCATTTTTAAAATCTACAGCTCCAGAAACATAAAAGTAGACCTTTATATTGGATAAATTCTAAAAACTTAAATAAATCAAAACACAGTGCCGTAAACATAAAATGGATGTCATTTTCAAAATTTACTGATCGGGAAACATAAAAATACACCCTTATATCGAATAATTAAAAAAAACTTAAATAATTCGAAACTCAGTCACGTAATCTTAAAAAGGAGGTTATTTTCAAAAACTACTCATACGATAACAGACCCACACATCGAAAAATTAAAGATAATTAAATAAATAAAAAAAGGTTGAATTTGAAATGGAAAAGGTTTAATTTGAAATGGAAAAGGTTGAATTTGACTTGGAAAAAGTTTAATTTGACTTGGAAAAGGTTGAATTTGACTTGGAAAAGGTTGAAATTGACTTGGAAATGCTATATATTTACTATTATAAAATATAAGGTGAAACTATACATATTTATTAAAAATGCACCATCAGTTGGATGTAAAAGCAACACATGCGGTTCAAAATATTTTACGATACTGTTTCAATGTTAAAGATTTTCAAATATCAAACGTGGCAATGCATTGAAATTGCACTATACCATTTATCATAGCATTCATTTCGTGTGCATTAGAGCCACCTACCACCTTCCTCAAAAGATTTCACATACCCCTCCTAAGATGTTGATTGCTTGCCTCTTCTTAAAAACAACTTGATTAAACATAGAGTTGTAAAAATTGTAGTGAAAAATAACCTTACTCATAAAAGAAACCCTACAGTAAACTCCAAAACCTTATTCTAACATAATGTTAGAGAAAATAATTGATTAAAATATATAATAAACTGAAATCAATAAAAAAATGATTTCTAATAGGGACATAAACCGTGATAATTATTACTCAAGAGTTAAATAATAGCAAATCAAATATTTGAGATGTATCATACTACTTCCAGAATACATTGGGAGGAAAATTAACAAAAAAAAGGAAATGACCTTTTCTGAAGAGAAAGTAGTAAATGTTTAAAACTCTATAACTCTGCAACAAATCGTCTGATTTCAATGATTTTTTTTTTTTTTTTTTGTAGGGAATTCAGGAATCTTTCAAATAAATATGAGTATTATCAATCAAAAATTGTGTACTTTTTTAGTTTTCAGCAAATAAAATTTTGAATTCATCTTAACATTTTTTCAGCCTGTTTTCGGTAAATTATGTTATACACATAAATTAAAAGGGTTTCAGTGGGAAGATTTTAGCCAAGTTTTGTTAAAATCATTAAAGATGTTTTGGCGCTACAGTTTATAGCGACACGTTTTTCGCCCGTCATTTCGAAACAAAAGGCCAAGTGGTAATAAAATGTTCAAAAACACTCCTGAATTCGATTGTAACGCTGTGTCAAAATTTCAAAGCAATGGTTGAAGAACTTCCAGAGAATAGTGGATTTGAACAAAAAAACATTTTCATTTTTATTTTTTTTATACATAAAATTATCATAAGACAGAAGTAGTATGCCAGAAACCTTCGCGGGAGTGTACACAACAGCTTCCCAAAGTTTCATGGCAATTGGAATGGTTTAGTAATGCATAAAGGACAAACAGACAGACATACATTCATTTTTATATAGATAGATAAATAATTCTAATATTGTTTGAAGAAGATGGTGGAGTCATGTGACAGAATATTAATAATTATTATTTATAATTAACACATTAAAGGCAGGTAGTACTACGACTCCCGCCTTTTATGTGTTAATATATATGTTGTAATTATTTATTGGCCTGTATTACTCTGTTGATTTATAACTGATTCAATTTTCTAGAACCATTTTTATTGACAATTTTATATTCTCAATCTCTCTTTTTTATAGTATGTATATGAATGTGCCAATTTTCCTTTAATATCCTCTAGAAATTAATTTTTTTGTTAGTGATTGTTAATATTAATTAACATTCAGAGTCGAAGCATAACTTTATAAGGTAAAAGATTTCTAAATTATGATTTTAGTGAAGCTAAAATCTATTATAAAGTTATTAACTCTGACTTGACTTATTAAAAACAAAATATCTATAAGTTATTATGCTTAAATTGTTTGATGAATTTTATTTATGCATTAGCATGAAACACTTTTTACAGACTTTAAGCCTTTACCATGTTTATTTAAAGAATAAAATGTCTTCTGTCTGCTGGTTTTCTGACATAGGTGTTTTTTGGAATAATATTGGATTTTATATAAAAACGTTTTTATGTTTTATAGATAATGTTTTTAAATTTTATGAAGAACAGTTATTCAGAATAAGCTGTTGATTTCTAATTTTTTTTCTTATTAAAGATCCATTAGCTGTTATAAATGTAGAACAGCATAGGAAGGATGACTAAAAGGCTAAATATTTCTTCTTAATATGAATTTATATATATATATATATATATATATATATATATATATATATATGTTGTTTCTTTTGGCATTACAGATCTTGTAGATCTTTTGCCGTCTTAACGATCCTACTCTGTCTCTTCCTATCTTGGAATATTTCTTTCCAGTTATCCGTATGCAGCTCTATTCCATCTTTGTTAATTCTATTTATCCATCTGCTTTTTGGTCTTCCTCGTGGTCTTTTGGCTCTATGGAGGCGTTCATTGTTATTTAGAGGCTTCCAGAAGGATTGCTTCGAGCTATATGCCTTGCCCATCTTAACCTCTGTGGCGTATTCATATCATGAGATATTCGTTGACAAGTTTCTGTAAGCAGCACTTTATTGGTCTTTCTTCTCCATATGTTGGTACTGTACTCTGTTTCCAGATCGCTCTGATTATGATATGGAGGATTTTTCTCTTGAGTCTTTCATTACTTTTATCTAGGGCACTGAGTTGTGTCCAGGTCTCACATCCATGTATTAGAATTGGTTTTATCATAACATTGTACACTCTTAATCTGAGATTTTTCATCATTTTAATACCTTTGAAAGGGAGAAAAAAGCTCTGTTTGTAGTAGTTATATGCTGGTCTATTCCAACCATTAGTTATTGTGGAGCTGAGGTATTTGAATTTTTCTACTCTTGGTAACGATTTCTCTTCTATGCAGATCCTGTTATTGGGGTGAAATTTTCAGTCTTATTTTGTTTTGTCTTCATTTAATTGTAGGCTGATTTGCTCTGCTTTTCTTATCAGATTCTTAACGAGTTTCTCAATGTTCTCTTGATTACTTCTAAGGACAGCTATATCATCTGCATATCCAAGGATTTTATGATTCATTCTAATGTGGACCCCTCCATTTTCGTATGATGTTGTTATTATCACCTTCTCCAGAGCTAAGTTGAACAACATATATAAAGATTCATGATGAGTTTGTACTTTAATGTTGGATTTAATGATGAATATGACATTTAAACTACTTTTATAACCCATTTGGAATTAAATTTTATGAATTAAGCCTACATTTAAAAGACAACTTAATCCTAACAATCTATAGACCAGTTTCCGCCAGCAGTCGCCATAGTTTTTTATTGTGAAATTTCCTAAACTGTTATTCATCAGGAATTTTGTTTTTATGCCCATCTGTCTTATTCTTATCTAACATTGTTAATTTGATTTAATATTTAATGGTAATTTATAGTATTCATGATAGTAATATTGTTAAATTATAATATTTTTCATATATAATTTCTTAAAAAATGTAACTATCCTGTTTTTTCAGGCATATGCAAAAAGGAATGCCCTGGAGCCAATGTTGATAGTATAGCAGCTGCTCAAGAATTAAGAGGGTGTACAGTTATTAGAGGAGCTCTAGAAATTCAGATTAGAGGTGGTGGTAAGTATGTTTAATTTCTTTCTTGTACATAAGATTATGATAAAAGTATTACAGACAAATTTGTTTTGTTTATTTTAAATATATCTGGTATAGGTTAATTAATACAGTAGTCTCTTGTTAATACAAACTAAGTGGAATCCTCATATTCGTGTTAACAGAACTTTTACTAACCAAAATTTTTTTTAAGATGAACAAGTTTGATTATTCAGTTGACTAAAACTTTATCTATTCATAGTTAGATGGAGTCAAAGTTGGAAGATTTTAGCATAAAAACAAAGAAATTGAGATTTTTAGTTTATCTCATGCTGGTTTGGAAGTAAACAATATTGTTAAATTCAAAATTCGGGTTTGTATTTACCAGATGTGATATAAAAGAACTATTGAGTAAGCCAGTTCATTTCTACCACAAAATGAGTTAAATATCCATTCCATCTGGTGGTTTCATCTTCTATAAAATGCATAAACTCTTGTTTAATTAAAAACCAAGAGAAGTGGGTTAAAAAACATTGTAATATGTGACTTATTTTTTTACGAAAATGGCAAGTGTTAATAATGGCAATAGTTTCTAAGAAAAGAAAGTGGTGTAACTACAAGAAATATGAAAGTATTATGTAAAATAATGACTCTGAACTACAAGAAGACTGTCTATGGATGTGCAACCAACAGTGAACTTAAGCATCCTCTTGGGAAATTTTACGAAGGTCACCTAACCATGTTCATAGCCTGGGTTGCTCTATTGCTTATGAACTCTTTACACTAAAAATGTTAATTTCTTTGTTTTGGTACTTATGCCATTATGCTCAATACCATTGATTTGTTTCTTTATACAACAATTTCATATTTCACAAAGGTGCTTTGACTATCAAGCAAATTCAGAGGCAAAAACTGGGTCTATGTTCTTCCTGTTTTTAATAATGGCTGATTTGATTAGATTGATTTGGGCGTATCATATTTTTTTAAACAATTTTTGTCTTCAATATCATGCCACTATACACTTCTTATAAAATTAATTTTTTTATTTATTATTATTATCTTTTGATTTTTCAGAACTGAATCCTTAAAACAAGTCCAACCAACACCTCAATGTTTCCTTTTTTTTCTGTTTCAAATATTTAATAAGTTTCTATTCTAGCTACTATGTCTAAGAAAACTGCCTGTTGAACCAGTCTTAACACACTAGGGGGCAGCAATTCCAAGTAATTCTTACCTACCACCATTTACTTTGGAAATAGCGTATTTGTCAACATTGTAGTTTGTATTACTACTGATCTTTCCAGATAGTACAATTCTTTTATTTCAACTACCTATTTCTGATATTTTCTGGGTTTCTCACCCGCAGTTTTGCTTATATTATTTTCATTTGGAAATGCAATATCAATAAACTTTCCTTTCTTTTATCCAAAATTTTTAGTGAGGATACTCCAATCTGTTATGGTGGCGCACTGTGTGATCTATAATAATAGATTCATCCCAATACATATAAAGAAGACATTTTTGAATTACCCTATTGGGGCTGTACTTAAAATTATTATAATATAAATATATATATTGTAATATTTCTTTATTGTTTACTAATAATAAAACTGCTGGAAAATCTCTTCACATTGTTACTATACTTCCAAAAGAAATAAGAGATTGTTAAATAAAAAACAAAATTATAATAATATTAATATAGCATTTCCAAGTCAATTTCAACCTTTTCCAAATCAAATTCAACCTTTTCCAAGTCAAATTAAACCTTTTCCATTTCAAATTCAACCTTTTCCAAGTCAAATTCAACCTTTTCCATTTCAAATTCAACTTTAGAATTTTTGTCAATTTTCGATATTTTTCGAAATGAAGGCAACTTAATATATTATCGACGGCATAGCTTTTAAAAAATACAAAAAAAAATTTGATTACGCAGTTGCATATCCATTTATTTTAACATTTTAGATTTTTTCAGTGTCATATTTCTATGTGATATTCAATTATTTCCAAGTCAAATTCAACCTTTTCCAAGTCAAATTCAACCTTTTCCAGATCAAATCAAACTTTTTCCAAGTCAATTCAACCATTTCCATTTCAAATTAAACCTTTTCCAATTCAAATTCAACCGTTTTCATTTCAAATTAATGTTTTAAGTTTTTGTAAATTTTATATTTTTTTTTAAATAATGGCCATCCCCTCCCCCCCTCCAATATGAAAGTCTATTATTATGCTCTCCTAAGTAGAATTTTCACTTACGGATATCGATTTATTGTACCTATTCGGATTTAATAGGGACTAGTATTATGCTGTCCTGTACATAGTTTTTAAAATAACCTCCATTTTAAGATTACGTGACTGCGTTTCGAATCATTTAAGTTTTTTTGACAAATTCGATATGTGGGTGTATTTTTATGTTTCCCGATCAGTAAATTTTGAAAATGACATCCATTTTATGTTTACGCCACTGTGTTTTGACTTATTTAAGTTTTTAGAATTTATCCAATATAAAGGTCTACTTTTATGTTTCCGGAGCCGTAGATTTTGAAAACGACCTTCATTTTAAGATTAGGCCACCGCGTTTCGACTTATTTGAGTTTTTCGGATATTTTTCATATGAGGGTGTATTTTTATGTTTCCGGAGCTGTAGATTTTGAAAATGACCTCCATTTTAAGATTAGGCCACCGCGTTTCGACTTATTTGAGTTTTTCGGATATTTTTCATATGAGGGTGTATTTTTATGTTTCCGGAGCTGTAGATTTTGAAAATGACCTCCATTTTAAGATTAGGCCACCGCGTTTCGACTTATTTAAGTTTTTCGGATTTTTTTCATATGAGGATGTATTCTTATGTTTCCGGAGCCGTAGATTTTGAAAATGACCTCCATTTTAAGATTAGGCCACCGCGTTTCGACTTATTTGAGTTTTTCGGATTTTTTTCATATGAGGATGTATTCTTATGTTTCCGGAGCCGTAGATTTTGAAAACGACCTCCATTTTAAGATTAGGCCACCGCATTTCAATTTCTTTGAGTTTTTCGGATTTTTTTCATATGAGGATGTATTCTTATGTTTCCGGAGCCGTAGATTTTGAAAACGACCTCCATTTTAAGATTAGGCCACCGCATTTCGATTTCTTTAAGTGTTTCGTATTTTTTTCATAATAGTGTGTATTCTTATGTTTCCGGAGTCGTAGATTTTGAAAATGACCTCCATTTTAAGATTACGCCACTGCGTTTCGGCTTATTCAAGTTTTTCGAATTTATCCAATTTAAAGGTCTACTTTTATGATGCCGGAGCCTTAGTTTTTAAAACGACTTACATTTTAAGATTAGGCCACTGTGTTTCGGTTTTGTTAAGTGTTTTTGATTTTTCCTTCGAATAAAAAACATAATACGAAGGATTAATTTATTTTTCAATAAATAAATAAAAATATCTAATCAAAATAAATAAAATATGTATTGTCTCATTTTTAATTTAATTTTAGTTATCTTTTTTAATGTTGTGGTCTCCTATCACAAAATTATAAGATTTCGAACAATTAGCTGAAAAATCTGAATACGGAAGGTTAAATTTATTACCAGTTGCTTTTCGGCTTTTTAGTTTGTATTCTGTGGTTAATTTTACTTTAGCTTCATAATATTTATTTATTTATTCATACTCGAAAACATATTGATGAAACTTTGTATTGAAAAAATCCAAAATGAAGCCTAATTAATCAAGATGCAGCGGCTTAATCATAAAATGGAGCTTAAATATTAGATAAATTTAAATATTAAAGATTAGAAAAATTTCAATACGTCTCGGATAACATATAAGTAGATCCTTATACCGAAAAAGTAAAAAAAAAAACTTTTATAATCCAAAACAGTGGCATAAACTTTAAATTGGGTCATTTACAAAATGGGGGAAATCTACTGCTCCAGAAACATAAAATTAGACCTTTATACTTGTTAAATTCTAAAAATTTAAATAAGTTGAAACGCAGTTGCGTAATCATAAAATAGAGGTCATTTTCAGAATCTACGGTTCCGAAAACATAAAAGTAGACCTTTAAATTGGATAAATTCGAAAAACTTAAATAAGTCAAAATGCAATGGCGTCATCATTAAATGGAGGTCATTTTCAAAATCTACGGCTCAAGAAACATAAAAGTAGACCTTAATATTGGATAAATTCGAAAAACTTAAATAAGTCAAAACGCAGTGGCGTAATCATAAAATGGAGGTCATTTTCAAAATCTACAGCTCCGGAAACATAAAAATACACCCTCATATGAAAAATATCCGAAAAACTCAAATAAGTCGAAACGCGGTGGCCTAATCTTAAAATGGAGGTCATTTTCAAAATCTACAGCTCCGGATACATAAAAATACACCCTCATATGAAAAATATCCGAAAAACTCAAATAAGTCGAAACGCGGTGGCCTAATCTTAAAATGGAGGTCGTTTTCAAAATCTACGGCTCCGGAAACAAAAAAGTAGACCTTTATATTGGATAAATTCTAAAAACTTAAATAAATCAAAACACAGTGGCGTAAACATAAAATAGATGTCATTTTAAAAATTTACTGATCGGGAAACATAAAAATACACCCTTATATCGAATAAGTCAAAAAAACTTAAATAATTCGAAACGCAGTCACGTAATCTTAAAAAGGAGGTTATTTTAAAAAACTACTCATACGATAACAGACCCACGCATCGAAAAATTAAAGATAATTAAATAAATAAAAAAAGGTTGAATTTGAAATGGAAAAGGTTTAATTTGAAATGGAAAAGGTTGAATTTGACTTGGAAAAAGTTTAATTTGATTTGGAAAAGGTTGAATTTGACTTGGAAAAGGTTGAAATTGACTTGGAAATGCTATATATTAAACTGAATTTTATAATTATTTTATATGAAGGTATTGCATACTGACAATCAGATCAAAAGATTCATACAAACTAAAATTATTTACATTAAACATTGTTTGATTTTAAAATAAAGACAAGAATGAATTGGCAAGCTAACTTTTTTTCTATATACACTGTT